TTTGGAGTTGGAGCCAAGTTAATTTTTCCGGTTTTTTGGTTTTTTTGGAGCCCCGTTGGAACAGGGAAAAGCTGATCCCATCCTAATTTCAAATAGTAGCCAAAGCTTTTTTTCCACCCTAAAATATGGAGAGGAGAGGGATGTTGTCCCCGTCCCCCCAAAATTTTGGCTTTCCGAAACCATCCCGCCTCACCCCATCCCCAAATTTCCTCAATTTCCCCTTAATTTCTCTCCCCTATTCCCCAAATTTCCCCTTTTTTTACCCCCTCACCTCCCCCATTTTCCCTTCTCACCCCCCAAATTCTGAACCCCACCCCCGGTATTCCAAAATCCCAACAAAAGCGGGATGAGGATATTTGGGATCACCTCAAATCCGGGCTGAGGGTGATATTTTTTTGGTTTTGGGGGTGATTTTTGGGGGTTTTTCTGTGTTTTAGGTGTGATCTCGCGCTTGCCCTTGTGCCCCCCCTGCTGCTGTTGGTGTCCTTTGCCCTGTCACTGTTAGTGGGGAAATAAAAGTTGCTGTGCAAAAACAAAAAAAAATAATCTTAAAACACAATAATTTAATAATTTTGTGTGTGGGGGGGTTTGGTGCTGGGAGAAGAAATAATCTTAAAACACAATAATTTAATTTTGTGTGGGGGGTTTGGTGCTGGGAGAAGAAATAATCACAATAATTTAATAATTTTGTGTGTGGGGGGTTTGGTGCATGGAGAAAAAATAATCTTAAAACACAATAATTTAATAATTTTGGGGGGGGGTTTTGGTGCTGGGAGAAAAAATAATAAAACACAATAATTTAATTTTGTGTGGGGGGTTTGGTGCTGGGAGAAAAAAATCTTAAAACACAATAATTTAATAATTTTGTGTGGGGGGTTTGGTGCTGGGAGAAAAAATAATCTTAAAACACAATAATTTAATTTTGTGTGGGGGGTTTGGTGCTGGGAGAAGAAATAATCTTAAAAGACAATAATTTAATAATTTTGTGTGGAGGGGGGTTTTGGTGCTGGGAGAAAAAATAATCTTAAAACACAATAATTTAATAATTTTGGTTTTTTTTTTGATGATGGGAGAGGAGGAAAAGCTGCTCCAGATCAAGAGGGAATGGAAATAAAAATATTTCCTTATCTCCAAATCTGCTGAGGGGGGAAAAAGCGCCACACTTGAAATTCCTGTTTTTTAGCTCCTGAGTGGAAGTTCAAATTTGGGTTTAAATCGAGAGTTTTAAACGGAAATTTAATGAAGTTTCAAAGAAAAGTTTGATGTTTCCCACCCGTCCCAGTTTGGATCCCCAAATTTTGGGGTTTTTGGAGTCTCCAACCCCTTTTTTCTGTGTCCAAATCTCACTTATCCATAAAAATCTGACAGCAAATCCCACTTTTTTACCCAAAATAATCATTTATTGATGATCCACTTGTGGCAATGCTGGGCTCGAGGGAAACTGGGATTTAACAACAAAAAAAAAAGGGATTTGGCTGAAAATTTGAGGTTTCATTTAGGATTTGGCTGAAAAACTGGGATTTTTTTCCCCAGATTTGGCCAAAAAAAAAAAGGATTTGGGTGAAAACTTGGGGTTTCAACTGGGATTTGGTTCAAAAACTTGGATTTTTCCCCATTTTTACCTCTTCCATGTATTTTTTGTCACCTAGAGCTGCCTCACACA